GAAGAAAATCTTGAAATTGAGTAGTCAGGGGCTTTATTTATTTATTTTTTACTGTGGGACTGCAGTTTGAACTAATTCGGTAATGGTCCATATATCTAATGATGCTTGTTCTAATTAGCTGCTTTATTTAAAAAGGAGTCTAGGCTGAAACACTCTTTGGGCGGAGCTAAACTGCTATACGCTGAATAGGCAGATATATGTAAGTGTGTTGGTTTTGTGACATCACAAAAACGGTAAATTTAAAACAGGCTGTTTTTGCAGCTTAGTTTCCATATATGGACTGTATGGACTGAAGAAGTGAAGTATGTTTTAAAACTCTTTTATTAAAAGGAGAAAATGTTTTCTGTAATATGGTTCCTTTAATTACATCACAAGCAAAAACTCCTTTCGCCAAAGAATGAATTTAGAAATTGAGTATAGTATCTGTGTTCCCTCTGAAAGAGTGCTGTAACCTGAGGGAATAAAACTTAACATATACCCTTATAATGCAGTTTTACAGTAAGCTACTGTATGCCCCAAAACTGAAAGTGTTTAAATAACTTGTGGCTCCTATTTGGAGATAATACTGCGTGATTGAATACTGCATGTTGGCTCCATTTAGCTTCTTTTAGGTGAAAGTGTTGTATGCTTTCCTGCTTTGGTCAAGGCCAAGTAAATAAAAAGGCTCTAACATTAAACCTTAATCCACCAGACAGAGTGAATCCAGCTCATAATGACTCATATTGAAGATTATTTATGATTTATGTAAAACCTGCATAAATCCTTGGATACTGAAGCTTGTATTACATTAAGTTGTGATAAGGTTTCTATTTTGTGCAAATGAATCAAATAACGTGAAATTCAATAATATGATACCGTCATTGCTCGTTACGTATGATCTGAGTCACGCATTTGTTAGCAGGAGCAAGGACACAGATTCTTAAAGGGAAATTCCACCAATTTTTCAGAAATACATAATTCATTCACTGAGAACAAAGTTAGTCAGAGTGGTTTGAGGTGAGATGGTGAATCAGAAAGAAGCATACTGACTTTGATTTCTGTACAGTGGTGGTGATAAGAACCACTACTGTAACACCAAGGTGTTGCGATGTCTGCAACACCAATAGAGCTATTAATATAGCCATTTTATTTAACACCCAAAAGACCAGTGAACCTACACTTGTTGAACCTACATTAATGGTAAAATAGCTGTAAATCCCCAAAAAATGTTTTCTTTCCTAGGTGAAAGGCTTTACTCAGAACTATGGTAAAACAATGTCACAAGCATCAGGCAACATATTTATAAATACTTCATGTTATAGCTTCATGTGACATCTGGTCCTTACCAGCACCACTGAAAACAACACTCAGTAAGTTTCTCTAAAATGGCACATTTTAATAATCAAACCATTCTGAATAACTTGTTTACGCCTGAATGATTTAATTATGCAGAATTTTTTAAAAATCTGTGGAATATCACTTCACGGCCAAGGGAAGAGCTTTAGAGTTTAGAATTGGAGATCTTGTTAAATTTGTTCTTTTTGAAAGGTACCATGTCAGCCTATTCGTGGACTTACTTAAGGCAGTGGAGGAAAGGAGAGAAAGATGACGTTACAGGATTTAAGTGCTACATAATACAGGCAGTTCCAACTCAACATTGCCAAACCAGCTCCACATTTTTGCACAAATGTCACAGTTCCAAATGGACCATTGCAAAGTAACATCTGAAAGATACGTCCTACTGTACAGACCCATATTCCGGTTTGGATACATGTATACCTGTCCTCTTTCTTTTAACTTTCAGTCAAAAGTATGATTCAGATTCAAATCAGTCCTTATTTTTGGATTCTGTTCTTATTTTTTGGGTCCACATGGTGAGCTGAGGCGGTCTGGCAGGTTGGCTCTTGAACTCTGACCTCTGAGCTTTCCTGCTGTCAGTCTGATCTCCCCTGACCTTTTTAAACCTCTCTGCCTAGAGAGCATTTAGGTGCTTTTTGAAAAGTGTGTCCCACCCACGCTGAGCTTTTTTGCCCGGCTTTTGCTCTGTATGCTAAAGCAGGCACCAGCCTTTAACCTCCCTATTCTGGCTACAGCCTCGTTTCAGCGAGACGTGTGAAATGATTTTTTTTTTTCAGTGCCTGGCTGTTGTCATGGCAACAGAGATCTGGCTTGGTGAGCATTGCGGAAATGCGTCCGGACCCCCTCAGCCGTGGCCATTCACCACCACAGCGCCTGCTGACGGCTGACTGCTGACCGCGGGCGTTGGGGGGGGTCAGGGTGACTGCTGCAGCCAGAAATGAAGGTGGGGATGGGCTCTGCCGATTGGACTGTGCTATGTCCAGGGGCTTATGAGTGAAAGCGTCCTAATCCCCATCACTTTTTGTGGAGTGTGTTCTTGAATCAAGGTTCAGCCCAGGCTTTGCCTGATCGGATCCCAATTTCAGATTTGCAAGCATGGCGGGCTCGGAAGCAGCGCAGCTAACCCAATTTCCTGCTCCATTTCCCCAGCCAGAGAGAGACAGAGAGAGAGAGAAACAGAGAGAGAGAGAGAGAGAGAGGTTTGGATAGAGTTTGCAAAGCCAAAGGCCGCCACGGTTACTGCTGCATCATCGAGAGCGTGCATGGTTCAGTGAACTAAATCTAAAACACGCTCATTCCCCTCCGGTTGACCTATCTATGCTCCACCTACAAATGTGTTCTCTCATAGCAACTGTTGCTAGGTTAGACAAGCATGGTAGAGTACAGGCAAAAGTTCTATTCAACGTAATTAGAAACTCTAGGCCCCACGTGTCAAACACAAGCCCACAGTCCTATCCAGCCGGCAAAAGTATTTAAATTTTTTTATTTTAATTTTAATAGACCTTTTCCCAATGTGCTGTACTACAATCCCCAGCAGATCCATCTACAGCACATTTTCCATCAAACTGAAGAACCCTTTCATGATGCAAAGAACCCTTAACCATGTAATAATCATGCTCATGGTTCTATGTAGAATCATTCTTGCTAAACAACGTACACAGTTACTTGTAGACTAAACATAGTGAGTATGTATCTAAACCTATCAAATATATCCAGAGCCAGAACTCCATTTGCAACTTTCTTCTCATCACCCTGACATCCAGCACTTGGTGGCTACCAAACAGCATTAGCCATCAGAAAAAGTCATCTGAGTGGCGCAACCGTTTAAGCGTTGGCCCTATCATCAGGAGAAGTTCAGTCAAGTTCGATCCCTGGTGATGCTACAGCCGTCTGTGGCCGGGAGTCCAAGAGAGCACAGTTGGCCTCATGCTCATCGCTAGGTGGGTAGGATGGCTCTTCCTTCATCACTCAGCGTGATGCTAGCCAGTGCAGGCGTCTGTTAGCTCACATAACAGAACTGCCGATTAGCATTCTCCTCCAAGCGTGTTCAGCTGTCCAATGACATTGCATTAGCAGCAGTTTGAAAAGATGAGGTGGCTGGCTGGGATTATGTGATTGAGTCCTAAGTAGTGGGTGGAATTGGATACGACTAAATTGGGGAGAAAATTGGGGAAAAAAAGAAAAAAATTATTGGATCGGTATGTGGGCCACGGTATCAGATTGGATTTGTATGTGGTTGGTTTGTGCGGGCCATGCCCAAGGTCACCAGTGCCCAGTGCCAAGCATCGGCTGGAGGGGTATTGGACTGTAGAGCAGAGTTTGCTGCAGTAAAGGGTGACAAACTCCCTATTAATACCCTTAATTCCAGAAGAAACGTCTACAAACTTTTGAACAGTGTACCATTTGAAATTGATATTGCATGCTAAATGTAGGTATTTTTATTTTAATTCAGTTTCTTAGTAAGTCACCAGCATTCTGAAAAGCTTTTCCGACTTTGCAACAGTTACTAAGAAAAAATGCATTTGTGGGCAGATCATCGATAAGTTAATTCCTGATCATGTAGACAATTTCATGACATCAAAAGGAAACTCCTCCGTTTGTAATGAGATGATGAGACGATGAGACATGGCATTTTCTCTGCTGATGCCTTAGTGTTCATACTTCATCTCGTAATGGGACAGTATGCTTCAACCTTTGCCTCTGCTTAGCAACCACCGGCTTCCACAGAACGGCTTGGATAGAGACTTTAATCTTGACCTAATTGAAGCCCCACGCTCCCCTCTGGTCAAATTTTTTCACCTCCAGTTTTAATGAGATTTTTAATTAGCATGTTAATTGCATAATGAGATCAGTGGACAGTGAGATAGCCGGAGAGCACAGGCAGAAAAGAGCAGGGTGCAGTGGGCCGGAGATGCCGAAGCACCCCAGCAGCCCTGTCAGTCGCCCATACTAATGAAGCAGAGGTCCTTCAGACCGAGCCCAGATGTCTAAAACACAGCCATCCATATATATACGCCACGGCTTTTACAAGCTCCTGCCAGGCCGAGTGCACAGACTGTGCTGGAAGTCATCACCTTGCATAAGGACTACAGCAGCCTGTGCTTTATGGCTTGTCACACTTTTATATGATATGAGATGGAAGTTTGGCCTTCACAGCTATAGAGGCAGACTGCTTTTGATTCATGAGAACTCTCTCTCTCTCTCTTTCTCTGTCTTTCTCTGTATCTCTCTCTACTTTCTTTCTGTTTCTTTTCTCACTCTTTATCTCTTTTCTCGCTTGCTTTCCTTTTTTTCTTTCTTTCTCTACTTTGTTTCTCTCTATTTTTTATTTGTCTGTTATTTTTTTCTTTTCCTTTATTTCTTTCTTTTTTTCTCATATCTCTTTTTTGGTCTATTTTTCCTTCACTCTCTTATTTGCTTACTTCTTCTTCTCTCCTCTCTCTCTTCTCGTGTTCTCTCTTTCTCTTTTTTCTTTGTCCTTCTTTCTCCCTTCTCTCTCTCTCTCTCTCTCTCTCTTTTGCTCTGTCTTTCTGTCTGTCTGTCTCTTTTTGTATTCTCTCTCATTTGTTTTTTTTTTCAGTGTGCATCCCTCATTCTTTGCCTCTCCTGTTCATTAACATCATTTGATCACCCTTTGTTTCCTCTTGTTCTCTCCCACTCAGTCAAATCTACTGCATTGAGAATGCCCACGGGCAGCTGGTGCGAGACTTGGACTTCAACCCCAACAAGCAGTACTACTTGGCCAGCTGTGGAGACGACTGTAAGGTCAAGTTCTGGGACGTGAGGCATATCAACGAGCCCGTCAAAACCCTGGAGGAGCACTCACACTGGTTAGACAAACACACACACGCACACACACACACACAGTCTACAAAGATAAATCACAGAATAAGCAGTACTATATAAACTGTAAACACATGCAGGTTCATGTGGATAAGGTGAGTGTTTGTGTATAAAAGCAAATTAGTTTGAGTTCATGCATGACCACCTATACAAACAAGGGATCGTCACCTTGATTTGACTTGTAAACTCAAAGCACTCTGACAGCATGCTTGTAAGAGCATGTGTACATCCATATTAGCTTCATATGAGTTTTATTTAAGCAATAGATGCTGTGATGCGAATTAAAGAAAATTCTGCAAATTAAAGAAAAGACACCCTGAATATTCAATCAAATGTGCTTTAATGTTGTCAAGTCCTTCTGCCAAAAGTGCGTTATACATAGAGCATTTAAACTGTTGCAATATCAGGTTCAGCTCAGTTTTTTCAGTAGTTGCCAGATTAACCTAAACGTTGGTTTGTTCCAGCCAGTCTGTAGTGTGGACCTAAGAACACACTTTACTTTAGAATCTGACTAAATGAGCCGCAGGTCAAATCTTATCTTAATTATCTTAATTAATTACCAATTTTTGTTTTTATATACAGCCATATACAAAAGTTTAGGTACCCCTGGTTAAATGTTTTGTGAAAAGAAGTTAAAACATCCTCTACAGAGAACACACATTGTTATGCACAGTTATTGTTTATTTGCTGAATGTAACATAGTGGAAAAGAACTAAAACATAAATGTGGCCTGTGCAAAAGTTATGGCACAGTTTATATTTTATATGTAATTCTTTTGCACTATATTTGCAGTATAGTGCAATCTTTAGGCATGTTCCCTGTAAAGGATATGTTAACTTATTTTCAGTAAGAAAGTCAACAACAAATGTAATTTAACCAGGGGTGTTCAACCTTTACATACAGCTGTACTAAACAGAAATGTAGTAATGATTAGCCACAGCATGAAGCAACTTGTTACTTACCTCAGTGGAATGATAAAGCTATTGTGAAAAAACTGTGCTGTTATCACAAATAATGGCATTAACAACCAATCAGACTGTATCAGAACTAACTATTGTATAAATTCGTAAATTTGTTGAGATTCTAATTTCTGATGTGTGCAGCAGTGTTTTGGTTCAAGGGAGCAGAGTTTCTCATTTAGCATATATTTAAGTATATTTGCGTGCCTTTGGGAGACTGAGTGTAATCCAGTTTGCATTCCCGGCCACACAAGTGCACACAAATCACTACATGATAAAATGTCAGACATTGGATGTTATCTCCTAAAAACATAGAGGCACTGTATCAATAACAGCCCAGTTTTGATCCCATTTAGATAGGAAATTACAAACCTGCACCAGGCCACTCTATGTGTTTTTCTCATTTGTTCAGTTGGCAGCGAGGGCTTGGCTGAGCCTTGGGGCGGAGGTATTAGGGAATATTTTGGGATGGAGGCAGATTAGTTAGGCTGAGGGAGCAGGGTTGACTGAGCCAGATTTTGCTGTCGACAGCCGAGTTATCCTCCTACAATCCCCTTCTATGAGGGGCTGGGAGCGTCTCCTGAGCCATGCCTGAGGCTTATAGAGAGAGAGAGAGAGAGAGAGAGAGGGAGAGAGAGAGACAGAGAGAGAACGTTACTGAGGTAGAAAAACAAGACAAAAAAGTGAGCAGGGGAGGAAAAATTGGGTTTTTGGAGTGAACAGAATTAAGAGAGAAGCTCAGTTGGTGAATACAGAACATTGGTGGGTCCTGCATGCAGGTGAATAGCTGTACGCAGTAGGGTTGTCCTAGTTAGGGTTTTTTTGCCCTGATCCCAATCCAAGCCCTTTAAACTCCAGCAGAAATTGACAGTTTTTTAATGTTATTCGTATGTCTCAGCAAGCTCAAAGACCCTCCTTGATAACATCTTTCATTTAGAAATACATCATGGTGTGGAAGTAAAATGTGTTATGATTTCCAGTTCATGTTGACTTTAATATATTGATAAAGCCTACGAATAAGTGTCGAACAGATTTTTTGTATTTTTCTAGATAATACAGCCACACAGTGCACTTCAAGTACATTAAAGTTGGTAAAACCCTGGTAGGATATCTTAGGCTGCCAATTACTTTGATTGGGAATTTCTAAAAATGCCTAACTGAATCGTTAAGCTTTAAACAAAGCCATCCAGAGTGGTTTTATGTAAAATGCACCATTCTAGAGAAGCTTACTAAGTCAGAATAGTGGTGATAGGAACCAGATACCTGAAGCATTTAATGACTCTAAAAGCTACCTCACAAAAAGTCATTACATGAAATGATTACAAATACACTGCATTATGCCTGAGACATTATTTTACAGTAGTTCTGAGATAAGACTTTGGCCTAAACCTTGTTTTTTTTTTTTAATCCAGAGACACGTGTTTTCCAGATTTAGCACTATTTATCATCAGTAACACTACATATTGCTGCTGTCAGAACAAACCTTGTATCTCCAAAATGGCAACTTTACAGGAGAAGGAAAAAAACAATGGAACCAGACTTTTTTCTAAGTAATTTTGGGCCATTTTTTTGGTCCATTCATCATAATATTTACATAAGTTTTTGTTTTTGTCACCACCACTGTAAAGAAATACGAGTCAGTTAGTTTCTTTATAGTGCACTGTTTCAAAGACAGGTGGTGTTGCAGATGTTACAAGTGGCTCTTTTCACAGTCCACTTTAAAATCGTTCCACACTGCAGACATTGAGACCTCTTTTTTAACTTCTACAAACTGATGTAAGTTGTGAATAATGTTTGTCAACTCTGTGATCGTGCTGTAAATAGATCCTAATGGTGTGATATAGCCTTCAGAAACTGTCGATTATCTCAGATCCATTCAAACATGCCTTGAGTCATTCAAACGGCTCCAGTGCTAAGAGAGCGATGCCGCTGAAGAGCCAAATTTGGGTCTCCAAAGAAACTTTCAATGGATGGTTCTCTAAAGGAACACTGTAAAGTGTTAAATCGATGTATTTTCAGTTCTTTGGGTACAGAGAGTGTTGAAATGACTGTTCAAGGTTGTGGATTGTACTCTGCAGATACAGCAGATAGAGACTGAAAGGTTCAAAAACCCTGGAGTAAAGATAAAGAACCATCTATTGACACATTGTTTAGGGATATAGAAAAGCTTCTGTGGCATTGCTCCATGGGAACCCTTTGCCACTTTTTTTGTTTGACTGGAATGCTCTATGTTTCAGGGTGTGGAGCGTGAGGTACAACCACTCACACGACCAGCTGCTGCTTACAGCCAGCAGTGACAGCAGGGTGATTCTGTCCAACATGGTGTCCATCTCCTCCGAGCCCTTCGGCCACCTAGTGGACGATGATGACCTCAGTGACAGTGAGGAGGCTCATCATGAAGAAAAGTACTTTCTTTTCTGTCTCTCTCTCTCTCTCTCTCTCTCTCTCTCTATCTCTCTCTCTCTCTCTCTCTCTCTCTGTCTGTCTAGAGAGAACATATAGATTCCTGTTTGTCCTCCTTTATTATTCTCCACATTCTCTGAGGCCATTGACAGCTGTGATGTAATAGCTGTAACAATATGAACAATATGAGTGAGAGTCATGTGGCTGATAAGCAACAACAATAACCGCAAATCCACAGAAAACATGATTAAGTTCATGTATATTCAGGCAAAGCGTGCATGCATTACAGGGAGTAGCTGTCAGCTTAAAATAGACACACATGGAATTTCTGGACCCACTGTGTTCATGCACAGACGTTACTTTAATGCTGTGCGTTTTTCTTCTTCACAAAACTACCCTCTGCAGATTTGTGTTCTGCATTGAGGCAATCCAAAGCATAAAGCATTCCAAAGCTTTGTCCTAATTAGACTGCTGAATATTTTATACTGTCTTCCAAATATATGTGTGCTAGTGAACTAAAAAATTGTTACTGTAATAGAAAAAACTTGCATCTCCAAAATTGCATCTTCAAAAAAAGTTTAAGGTTTGCTTTCTGAAATTTCTGTTTGTCCAAAAGATGCTTACATAACGTAAAAGGCTGCTGGCATTCTAAAAAACAATGAATTAATGAAATCTTTTAAAAAAGCCTGCAATGATTAGTCAACAAAATCAGTGACGTTTGTTATGAAAAATGTTCAATGCATTTTTTCGCTTTAAAAAGTCGTAAAAAATTAACAAAAATATCTTTTAAAAAATCTACAAAAATCTTCATGCCGTAATATTCATGCGTTATGCTTGGTTATTCTTACAAATTACAGTATGTTGCTGGGTGCACTGGGTGGGATATGGCCTCTATTGTTTTGATGCACCATAAAAGAAGAAAAAAATGCTTCGTAAAATTTGGATTCACCCTATTCCTGCCCCTCTTATTTATATATTATACATATTTACATTATGTTAAAGTGCATATTTGCACTGACTACAGTAGAGGAAAGTGGGAGAGATTCTTATTCAGAAGGATATGTAGAGTGCATCAGCATTACATATAAAAACTCAGAAGACGTGTAGGTTCACTGGTCATTTTGCATAGTATATTGTCATGGAGTAGACATTGTCACCCTGGTTCTATTCATCACCATTGTAAAGAAATCTGAGTCGTTAAGTTTCTCTACAAGAAACATTTCACAACAGACAACTCTGAATTTTTAAAAAATCTGCATGACTGACCACATAAAATATGGGATGTAAAAAATAAGTTAAATAGTAAACACACCTTCCTTGACTTGGCTAAAAATAGAGATATTTCAGCCACAATCTCGAAATACTGTGGTCACTTGGAAAATATCTGCTTTTGTGTAGAATTGAAACTGTGTTTCTTTTGTGCAGGAGCAAAGAGCCGCTGCAGGACAGCATCATCGCTACGTACGAGGAGCATGAGGACAGTGTATATGCGGTGGAGTGGTCTTCAGCTGACCCTTGGCTATTCGCCTCCCTGAGTTATGATGGCAGATTGGTCATTAACAGGGTGCCCAGGGCCCTGAAATACCGCATCTTACTGTAGAGTGACTGATTAAACGGGTGAACGAGAGCAAGAAGCACTTGTAAACTGCTGAATGTGAGTGAAATGAATGCAGGAGACATCAGAAACTCAGAGCTCATGAAACCAAAAAAAAACATGGAAGAAGTTTGAAAAAAGAGACGATAGGCCTGGAAAGCATGAGTCGGAATAAATCTGCATAAAACACACATCCGCTATTAACACTACCAATTAAAGACAGTCCCAGAGTGCAGTGGGATGGCTTGGAGGCTGTTTGAAGGCGAGAGGGCCGCAGGGCATGGAGTGTCGTTTGTCTTTGAAAAAGCCCCTTGTGTTGATAGCCAGCGCTGGTTGTGTTAGCGAGGCGTAGGCTCGCTTCATCTCGGCCAGCCTCGGGCAGCCCAGCGCCTGGCTTCAGCCCCACCACTGAGTACAAAGTGCAGCCATGGAGAAAGGCCTGCCAGGGGGAGCCCGGCGCAGCAGGCCGCTCTACTGCAGCCTCCGCACTCCACTCACTCTCTCTTCTTTACTTTCTCCCATCTACTCCCTCCAGACCCACCACACTACTCCTCACAAACAGCCTCAGCTGTGGACAAAGAGTGGAATGAGGAGTCCACCTAAACTTTAAATGAGTTAACATTAAATCCTTGCTGAGCATCACCAGATATCAGTAGCTGACTGTTAAAAGTTTGGGGACAGCTTGTTTTTATTTTGCAGTGTAACAAGTAGGACTTGATTTTCACTGTTACTTTTCAACTGACTATCCATGCACTGCTGACAAGCTTTATAGAACACTGGCAAACATCCTCTTCAACCTTGTGAACATCTGTTTAAAGGCTATATTTCGCTGCTGTCAGAACAAAACCTTTTATCTCCATTTTTGTCATTTTTCACTTTTTGACATAATTACATTCTTTGTAGATTTCTGGTTCAATTGACTTACATTAAGAGTAAAATATGTTTTTTACTTCTCCTGTAAAGTTACCATTTTGGAGATAAGAGGTTTTGTTCCGATAACAGTGATTTGCATAATTAACACAGAGTTTCCGGTTTAAAATGCTGTGCTACTGAAGTTAGACTAGGTTGTCATGGTTAATTGTAACTAGGCAAGGTGTAAATAACAGCAAATTAGCAGCCACTAATGTTAACTTGATTACAAAACAGAAAAAAATCCAATTAAATAGAATTTCAAATGAACACACTCCAGATGTTTTGATGGAAACTCTGGTTTGTGCTACAGTTTCTCATTAGGTTGACTGGGATTTTTTCCTTCTCGCTCTATAGCTGTCTGGTAGCTAAAAAAGAACACGTAGAGCATGGATCAGCTATTAAATTAAAAAAAAGGCCTGCAAAGGGGAATTCCATTGATATTTAAAATTTTCTCCATAATTGTCAAAGATTTTAAGTAAGGGGTGGTGAAGTGTGATCCTGGAGGATCAGAGTCCAGCACAGTTTGGTGATTTTCGTGCTAAACACACCTACTAAACCTTAGGCTTTTTAGTTGAAGACAGAAAATCATCGAACTGCACTGTTCTCCAGCCCTCCGGGACTGGAGTTCACCACCCTTCTTTTAAGTCATTCAAAGTGAAATGCTCAGTGAAACTTACCAAGTCAGAATTGTTCACAGTGGTGGTGATGGGAACCAGACATCTGAAGAGTTTAATGCTTCTAAAAAAAAAACAGAAAGTTATTACATGAAATAGAGAGACGCTTTTACAGTTGTTTTAAAATTAGATTTGAAAACATTTTTTATTTTAATCCATTCATGATGGAGAGATCCATTCATGTAGGGCATTGTAAAGTAAAATAATCTTCAAAGAAAACATTTTTTCAGATTTGCCACTATTTCTCCATTATCAACATTGCATATAAAAACTAAGGAGACACGTGTAGGTTCACTGGCCCTTCTGGATAGTAAATAAAACGGCTATATGTGAGTTGTAGGGATTGCAGCCCCTGGTTCCTATCACCACCACTGGCCATGAACCAAAGCCTTTACATTATCTCAAAGCCATCTGAATGATTTTGTATACATCTCTATGATTTCATTATGCAGAAATTTGGTAAAATATCGGTGGAATTTAACAAACAACAGCTGGTTATTTTTACATTTCGGGTATATTTTGCAACACTCGGTTTTAAATTATGACATTTTCTTTTCCAAACTGTTGTTTGAACCCTTATTTTCAAAAATTTTTGGCTCAAAGGTAGTTTAAAGTTTGAGTGCTGGTGAGCGCTGACATCACAACTACGAGGTAAAACTTGTGGCGTATGTCATTATTCTAAAGTAGTACTGTTACTAATATTATCAGATTTTGCTTTCCTCAAAATAAACCTGCATAGCCTTTAATATATAATGTTAAAGTTGTTCCAAACTGAAAAGAAAACATGCTTATTTGTTTTGTACAGGTAGGAGTCCCCAACTTTTAACAGGCAGCGTGTATATTACTTGAACATAGATAAATGTTTTAATGCTTTCTGAAGCTTTTCCAGTTCTGATGTGAAAAGCTTCTGATATGAAAGGTTTCTGTTTAAATCTTTATGAACATGTTTATATAGAAGCAGTGATGTTCTTTCTCTGTATTGCAGAAGGAGGAATTGCTTGTATGTACCTGACCTTGCATATTTTGACGAAGGTGTGGAAAAGTCTGATAGAATCTAATTACTCCTGTGCAGTCCAAATAAAACGGTTTCAGTGATGAAAGACTGCGCCTTTTTCAGCCCCGCTGAAATCCTTCCATGCCCTTCATCACACTCTTTCCTCTTCTTCCTCGCTCTCCTCCAGCATAAACAGGGTTTGAGAGTTGACGCTGCACACTCGTGACAGTGCGAGTGTTCATTAAAGCAGCTCTCTATGACAAGCCATTTTAATTGCAGCTTGACTCGCGGGGGGACGGTGGAAGTCCTGTGCTCGTGCAACAGGGGCTGTGGGATGACTCCACTGAAATTCTAATGCCTTCATTCAGTCTGCACACGCTCTCAATTCAACACTCTTAACATACCTCTCTCTCTCTCTTTCTCTCTCTCTCTCTCTCTCTCTCTCTCTCTCTCTCACTCTGTTTCTCTCTCTGCTGCTAGTGATGGTGTAGCAAGGTTAAAATGGGTTGAGAGTTTATGGACTGTATCTCTTTCTCTTCTCTCTTTTCTCTCTTTTTCTCCTTTCTTTCTCCTTTTCTTTCACTTCTCCTCTCTTACTCTGTCTCTCTTTTCACTCTCGCTGTCTCTTTATTCTATCTCTCTGTCTTTCAATTTCACTCTCTTTCTTTCTTTTTCTCACCCTCCATCTGTCCCTCACCCTCTTTGTCTCGTCTTTTGCGTTTGTTCTTTCGCTCTCACTCTTTCTTTCTCCTTCTCTCTCTTTTTTGTTTCTCTTTATTTCTGTCTCTTTCCATGTGTCTTTCTTATTTCTCTCTCATTTTCTTTCTCTCTCTTTTATTCTCTTAATACTATTTCTTTTTCTCTCTCTCTTTTTCTTTCTCTCTCTTTCATTGCTTTTCCCCATCTCTGTCCGTGTTTCTCTCTCTTCTTTTTTCTTTCTCACTCTCCTTCCTTCCCCTTCTCTCTCTCTCTCTTTCTCTCTCTCACTCTCTCACTCTCAATTCTAATTGTCTCAGTTTCAGTTTAATAAGCTTTATAGACATGACCATATTTAGAGACGGCATTGCCAAAGCATCATAAAAAAGCAGGAATAAACATTTAGAAAAGTTTGATTGGAAGAGAAAACAATAAAAATAATAATCATAAATAATAATAATGAATGATAATAAAAATATATCAAGTAGTATTAAATATTTGGGGATGCGTAAGTTCATAAAGTTGTTTACAAATTGCAATCAGTTGTCTCCTCTGTGTGTAGTGTGTGTATGTGCTGTGTTTGGGTGGGTCACTAACCATCCCTCATATTATGGCAGACACATATGTATCAACCTGCTAAAGCGCTGCTTTCTCTCTTTTCTCCTAACAGGATGGGCAGCTTGTCATTATTATGGAAACAGTTAAATTGGGGGTGAATCTTCTCAAATTTTATGAAGTATATTTTGCATAATTGTTTGAATTTTCCACACTCTGTGATAAAGTTCAGCTCCATCTCAAAAGTGTTGCTGCACAGCTGGGAGAATCTGTGTCTTTAGGCAGCCAGGATCTTTTATAGTGGCCAGTCTGCACGGCCAGGCTGTGTTCACTGAGTCTGTACTTTGTCAGTGTGGTTCTGTGTTCAGTCACTGTGCTCAGGTACTCTGCTACAGTGTACTGTCGTTTTAGGGCCAGATAGCACTGCAGTTTGTTTTGTGTGTGTGTCTGTGTTGCAGTGGGTGATGTAGTTTTGTTTTTGAAGTCTTATTATTTGGTTTGGTCTGATTGTTTGTACTGCAGGCTGGTCCTGACGGGCAACAGTGCGTGTTAGCGAACTCAACATCAGGACCAGCTGTGTGAGGGGGCTCTGCTCCTTGCTGGACTCTTGGCATTGCAGGGCTTAGTAGTGTTAGGAGTGGGGGGTCACTGTTTTCAGATATAGCCAATATTTAATTGTTCTTTTTTAAATTTTCACTCAGTGAATCAATTTGCATTTGATGATTTTTGTATTTGTCAATTGATTCACTCTCTCTTTTCTTTCTTTCTTTGATTCTTTCTTTCTTTCTTTCTTTCTTTCTTTTTATCTTTCTTGTCACTCTCTTAATAATAAAATAATAATAATAATAATAATAATAGTAATATAAATTAATATTGATTATTAATTCTTTCTCTCTCCTCTCTTTCTTTCTCATTTTTCTTTCTCTTTTTCTTTGTTTGTTTGTTTCTTTTCACTCTCTTAATAATAATAATAATAATAATAATAAATATTCATTATTAATTCTTTCTCTCCTCTCTTTCTTCTCTCTCAGTCTGTTCTCTCTCTCTCTCTCTCTGTCTCTCTAATTCTGAATTGTGTTGTCCATCTTTGTGGTCCAGGCTGTGGTGGTCCCAGCTCCCCTGTTGACGTGTGTGGTGGTGTGTGGTGATGGAGCGAGGTGTGTGTGATCAGTCATGCAGGTCTAGTGCAGGGTGTGGCGTGTCTGCTGATCCTCCTCCAGCCCTCTGCGTGCCTTCACGGCGCCTAAGAAGTCCTCTTAGCGCACACACGCACACACTTCACATGGGTGGGCTGAGAAGTTCATGCCCACGGGGCTCCGGCACGGAGGAGTGAGAAGAAAACAGGAATGTGCTATGTGCAGAAATAAACAGATACATGTGTTCTAAAAATATAGTGGAGGGTTTGTGTTTTTTCCAAACAGTACTGTATGTTACACAGAGGCTAAAAATATAACAATTTTGTGATAGGAGATTGTATGTATGTGTGTATATATATATATATATATATATATATATATATATATATATATATATATATTCATCTTTAGCTCATGCACAAGAGAGCTAACAGAAGGTGCACAATTGATTCCAGATATGGCGACACTTGCTTGTTTCTGTTTCTTAACATGAGGACTAAAGAAGTGTCCCACTGAACCAGTTAAATCAGGCTGGAAAAATCTGAATAAATCAATCGGAACCCATTAAAGCCACGGCTTTTTCAAAAGTAATTGGTACATTATTAAGAAGCAAGGACTCAATGGTAAGGTTAGCTGTAGGACACATGCTAGCACACAGTAATGGATGGCCAAAGAATGCCTTCATTGAATAGAAACTGAGCAAGAACACTGTCCAGGATTATTTCTACCTAAAGACTACCTCTTCTACTAAAGAGCATGGAATGAAAACCACTACCAATCATCACGTTTGCTATAAAGTGCATTAAAAGCCTCAATGTCTTTGTATGAACTGATAAGATACAAATTAATCTGTACCAGAGTTATGGAAAAAGGATGGATTGGAGAAAAAATGTGAAATAAAAAAACACCTTGTCTGCAAGACATAGTGGTACCCAGTGGAACTGGATCAGTTGTCTTCACTGATGATACCACTCCTCTTGATGCTGCCAATTCTGAAGTGTACAGAAGCATCTTAACTGCTCAGATGCAACCAAATTCTTTCAAAGCGGAAGGCTCTTTAAGTAACAAGACCAATGACCAGAATACAGACATTTTGGGGCTCAAGGGGAAAACAGGACAACAAATTAAATTTTATTAATTAAAATGTTTACTGAATGTTAAAATCACTGTTATTAAGAAAAACACAAATTATGTTTCACTTAAAACCAAACTTAGTGTTGCATTTTTACAGTCTTATTTTTACTACGTTACTGTCTATGTGTTGATTTCAACTCAGTCGCCATCATGCACAACTGTGCTCTTTAACCACTACCATTTAGTTGTAACTCTGAATAGAAATTTTGTATGAATCCCTGTACGTCTTGTACACTCTTAAAAAAGATGGCTCACAGTTCTTCAGTAAAAACATAAATATATATAGAACCATGAACACTCAAAGAACCATTTGTCTGCTTAAAGTGTTCTGTGCATGGTGAAATGATTCTTAAGATTGATGGAGGATGTGTTGTATATGGTTCTGTACAGAACATTTTTTGAAAATGGTTCTATATAGCGCCAAAAGGGTTCTATTGTTGACAGGGCTTGACATCATAACAATGGAAGAACCCTTTCAAAAAGGTTCTATATAGGACCATATACAACACATTCTCAAACAGTCGGAAGAATGATTTCACCATGCACAGAACGCTTTAAGCATGCAAATGGTTCTTCAAATGTTCATGGTTCTACATAGAATCAGTGTCTCTTTTTTAAGAGCGTATGGGCCTTTTTACAATAATGAAAAAGTAGTTTATCAAGTCATTAACACCCTTATTGCTGAAATTATATCGTGTTGTTCAAAGTTACCACATTATGGAACGTGATTATTTCTAATCAGTGTTTTATATTGTTGGGGGGGGTCATCTGATCAAGAGAGATGAATCTTATAGAACCCGAGCCAACCTACAAGCTTTATTTCCAGTGTGAGGGCGAGCCTCATCTCTTTGAAACAGATCTTGAATAATGGTGGATATAAAATACAGTTATTATACTCACTAACCAAGAGGGTACAGTCTGAGAGCAAAGGGGCAGCCCTCCTGGGGTCTAACGGTCCATGTGGCTGCTACTAAAGCAGAAAACTTTTCTGGGCATGTTCTTAACTGACTAAGTTAAATATGCATCTTCTGAAAGCACATCACTAAAAAAAAACCTGAAACAAGCAGACACGGGGAGTGCATGCATGACAGGCCTGGTAAAGCATCAACAGGTGGGCCAGCTACAAAGGGACCACAATTAAGCCTCAAAATACTCAGTTGTATTTTTGTCCAATTACTTTTGGTCCTTTAAAATTGACAAACTATGTCTAAATAGGTCAGTGATTCCTATATGCTTTACCGAATACAAATGCAAATACCCTTGAATTTAAGCTGATATTTTGCCTTTAACCACGTGCTTTAAAATGTGCAGGACTAACAGAGCAAAACAATGAAAACTGTATCTCTCTCTAATTGCTTATGAACTTCTCTGTATGCAAGCATGTAATTTTTAGAGGTAGTTTTGAAACATTCCAGATTAACCAATTAATATGATTTGAGCTGCATCAATAAAGGACAAGCTAATGGTATGTAGCAGTATGCCCTCTGAAAAGAATGCTTCAGTTTGTAGTGCTACAGAGAGACTGACTTACATTAAACCCGAACAGTATGCACAATAGCACATATCCTTGTAAGACCTTCTTTGTATGC